AAAAAAAAAAAAAAAAAAACCCGATGCACCAGGGCTGAGGACGAAGCTCAGGTGGCCTCTCAGGTTCCAGGCTCTGTGTGTCTTTGACCCCCAGTGCTTTGTAAATCAGGCATAGTGTTGAATTCCTGTCATTTCAGTACTTGGGAGATGGAGCCAGGAAGAATGGGCGTCCAAGATCGCCCTCAGTTGCCTAAGGAGCTACATGAGATCATACCTCAAAAACAAAACCAAAAGAAGCAATGTGCTGTAATGTTGAATTTAATTCTAAATTATTTCCATGACAAATTCAACTTCATAGCTGCTTTGAGAAAATTATGTTTTGAAACTACCAAAATTGTACTGGTCCTGGCCTGAGCTGAGTCATGGATGTAGCTAACAGAGTCAGAAGCATCCAGCCATGGCTAAGGGATGAAGGGTCCCACCAAGGTCTGGGTCACCACACCTCTGGACAGAACTGGTCCCTCTGCAGCACCCAGCCAGGGCCACATGTAGTTGAGTGCCCACTGAATCCCAGCAGTTCTCAGTGTTGTGGAGGAATCCCCCACCCTCCACTCTCCCAGAAACCATGCAAAACCTACTCACTCCCCTTCAATGTGTTGAACTTGAAATACCAGGGTTCCTTTTTCCCCTTTTCCTTGTCTTTTTCACTTTTTTTTTTTTAGTTATTTGAGAATTTTGCCAATATATTCTGATCTCATCCTCTCCCTCCACTAGCTCCTCCCAAGTATTTCCCCTCCCTACCCACCCAGCTGGTGCCCGTGATTCTTTAGTGTACCGCTTTCCACTGGAGTATGGCCGACTGACCGGGGACGCACACTAAAGGAAACTGGCCCTTCCTCTCCCAGCAGCTCTCAGCCACCAATAGTTACACACCCCGGGATGGGACTTTGCGCCCACCTCCTTCTGCAGGCTCTGATTTTGCTTGGTGAGGAGGCGTGGCTCCTGTGCACAATGTGACAAATGTGAATTAATACGTACAACTTCCGTTCTATGCCCCCGCCCCCAAACACTCTCTCTCCATAGTCATATGCTGACTCGGGCCTTTACATTTCTCTCTGCCTCTTCTGCAATAAATCCCTGAGCCCTGGGCGGAGGGGATGGGACACAGATGTCACAGGTAAGGTTGAGGTCTCCCCAGTCTCTTATTCTCGGTATCTTTGACTGGTTGTAGGTCTCTGTGTTAGTCACTGTCTACTGCACACAGAAGCTTCTCTGGTGAGGGTTGAGAGAGGCACTCCTCCTTGGCTATGTGGATAATTCATTAGGACTCAGTTTAATACCTGTCTATTTATCAGAGTGATAGTCCTCGGTTCTCCCCAGGCTCTGTGACCTGTCTAGCCTCAGGTTCTTTGCTTACCAATTGTGCCAGCTTTGAGCACCATCTTGTGAACAGACCTTAGGGCAGTGGTTCTCAACCTCCCTAACACTGCGACCCCTTAACGCAGTTCTTCAGGCTGTGGTGACCCTGGGCGGCAACAATATTTTCATTGCTACTTGATAACTGTGACTTTGCTGCTGTTATGAATTGTAATGTAAACATCTGTTATGTCATCCCCCGAAGGGGTCACAACCCACAGACTGTGAACCACTGCTTCAGATTATTTCAAAACTCGATGATAAATGACTATAGTTTCTGGCGCCTGCTGTGGAAATAACCTTATTTACCTACTTTGTTTTCACGAGCCGGGATGAAAGAGCCACAGTTCTGACTTAGATGCTGGTTTTTCTCCCCTCTTTTTCTTTTACAGACCATATTTAGAGCTTGTGGTGGGCCTGTGCTCTGTGTCTGCCTGTATGCCTACTGTGAGGAGCGAACCAGACGGCCTTGGCTCCCCAGTAGCCACGGTAAAAAGGTCGGTCACACATGACTTCTCTTTTGAACCTGTTCCCTCCTGAGCTTAGAAGACCTTTCATTCCCTACGCTTAGGGGACTGTGGCTGGTTTACATCCACTCCACGGTGATGTGCGAATCTGCGTGTTATCTTCAACAAGGGGCTTCAGGAAGCCTTTACACTGCATTTGGGGAGCGAGTGCTGGGCTCCAGCAGGTCCCCCTCTTCCAGACGCAAGCGCAGCCTGGGCGCTGTGAGCTTCAGCAGAGGCCTACCTGCCTTTCTTGCTCTTCCAGAGACGGAGTCTGGTTTGGGTCATGCCTGGAGCTCTACTCCCACGGCCAGGCAGGCAGCAAGGAGGAGCATAAATGGCTTTGGCGTAAGTTCTTGCATCCACGAAACTCAACAGGGACTCTGCAGCTTCAGGCAGGGCTCGGAGTTGCCAGTGATCACCCTGGACACAGTGTCCACCAAAGCCTTGTCCCACCCCAGAAAGGAGCCGTGGTAGTCCTTCCTGTTGTAGGCGTTCACAGAATTTCAGAGTGGTGCGCCTGAAAGACTAACCAGAGCATTCCGAGCTTGGTAACACCGGGTCACGAAGCCGGCAGAGAGCCAGCGGCGGCAGAGAGGCCACCCAGTGCTCCGCACCAGGCAGCTCCGAAGGCCTCCGCGGACCTGGCATTATCTTCTAGGCCAGTGACAGATTTCTCTTTTTGTCACCTTTCCTTAGAGACGTCACCACAGCCACAAACCGGCAGATTTGACAAAACCCCAAACAACTAAAAAAATGCGAGCGGTACAGGAGCCTTGTTGGCGCAGAAGATACCTGTGACTGCCTCTGCATTCCAATGGCTGGAGAGGCGTCCCGAGGAAAGAACCCTACGAACGCAATCGAGGTCGACACACGGACCTTCCTGTGGGCTTTGGTGGGGACCCCCTGAGCAGCCCTGGAAAGGACTGCATGCCATGAAGGAAGGAACTAAGACCTGCAGACCTTCGGAAAGGCCGGAGGACACAAGCGTCTGCAGCATCCTGCGGACAGGATTTTAGAATGCAGGCTTTCATTTTTTTTAGTGGTTATTTATGCAAAGCTCTATGGGAAAGTCAACACAACTTAAAGCCTGTTTCTGGTGGATTTTTTTTCCCCCAGAGAACAACATTTCCTTCCTCTCTTTCCTCGTTCCCCTTTCCTTTCTTCCCTCCTTCATTTACTGCCTTCCTCTCTCCTTCCTTCCTCCCTTTTCCCGCCTTTCCCCCCCATCTTCTTTCTCTCTCTTCTCTCCTCCGCCTCCTCTTCTTCTTGGTCGCCATTCTTCCCTTCTCCCCCTCCCTTTCTCCCCCCTTGTTCTCCTTCTTCATCCTCCCCCTCCTTTTCTTGACTCCCCCCCCCCTTCTTGCCTATTATTGCTAAGCCTGTAGGTCTCCCTCATCCACACCCTCTTAGCACATGTGGAGGCCTGGGCTGGGGATAGTTACTGTGGTTTATCAGTGAAAAGCCAGATTATGTGATGGGATAAGTGCCTTTCAGGCAGCCAGGGCGGGCTCTCAGGGCACTGGACTGTATCTTGGTGTTTTGTTACAATGAACAGGGGTGACCTAGAAGCCACCTGATACGCTGTCACAGTGAGCATTTCACCTTGCCATTGTTTTATTTTATTTACTAATTTTTAGATTTATTTATTTTGTTTTATGTATATTAGTGTTTTGCCTACACGTATGTCTGTGCACTGTATGCTTGCCTGATACCCGCAGAGGTCAGGAGGGAATGTTCATTCTCCTGGTACTAAAGTTACAGAGGGCTGTGACTCACCATGTGGGTCCTGGGAACCAACCCCAGGTCTTCTGCAAGAGCAAGCGTTCTTACTTAACCTCTGAGCCTCCTCTCTAGCCACTCCCCCTTTTAAATATAATTGCCTATTTTTAAATTCATTTTTTGTGTGTCTGCATGAGGTCAGAGGACAGTTTGGAGGGGTGGCTCCTCTCCTGCCGTCTCGGCCCCAGGGACTGAACTTCAGGTAGTTAGGATTAGCATCAGGTGCCTTCACTCATCTGGCTCTCTTTCTTGTCCTTCCATTGTGTAATGGACCATTTGAAAGCCCCAAATACAAAGAGAACTTTCTGATTGTCCCAGACTTATTCTTATGATGAAAACTCAAACGCTAAACGTGCTATGAATCAAGTCAAATATTTTTAAAACGTGAGTGTTCTCCTCTCTTCTAAGAGACTATGAAGAACTCAGGTGAGGACGGTGTTCTAGTTAGGGTCTTGTTCTCACTGACAGCCTGTTTCAGCATGAGACTGCTCTTAGCTTTGACCTTGGAGTCTATGCTTGCCTAAACTACATAATGCTCATGGGTTTCTGGAGACATGTGCTAGTGTTGACATCCTGCCCAATATGAGTTTTGTTTTTCCCAAAAGAAGTAGAAATATATAATGTAGAAAATATAGAAATCACCTTCCTGGGGCTTTTATGCACTAATATGCACACACGTGACTGAGACCAACATTTCTTTTTGTTCTCAATACGGATTAAGATAAGGTGATGAAATTCATCACAAACACAGGAACCACTGCAAACATTCCCCTGCAATTATCCTTATGGGACATTCACAGAGCGCCGCAGTTGGAGTGTAGATGTATGGTAGAGAGGTTGACTCTTGTTTAGGTCAGTCTGGGAGGCTTTTCCGTGCTTCTAGAAGAGGGCTGTGTAAAAATACCTTTTTTTTTTTTTTTTTGCAGGCTCAAGGTCACGTGAGCAAAAGGAAGTAACACTTGCATGGCGAGCAAAGGAAGGCCCCCGCCCACCCGTACCTGTGCAGATGAAGCTGGAGAGGCCTCCATAGATGACTTCGTCATTGTCGGGCAATATGAACGGACACCTGGTCTGCACCTCCAAACAATATTGCTTGCATGGAATTGTCTTTCTGCAGTTAAACTGTGTGACTTCAAAATACTGGGAGCAGAGCCAGGCTTTGTAGACAATCTGAAAAGCAAGGAGAGAAGAGTCAGAGACGTGGAGGGAATGCTACACACACGCCTCTTGTAAGGGAAAAGCTGGGCTGGGAGAGCATGCTTTGGTTTCACTCAGGTCAGGAGACAACTTGGAGGGAGCAGGGTTTACACACTGGCAGCTTGACATGGGAAGAACGCGGCTCTGAGTATCTGCAGTGAGCACTGCCAGCATTGGACAGGGTCCAGTAAGGATGAACAGTAGTTAGTTTGAAGCACTCTTGGAATACAGTGGATTGGAGGAGAAGCTAACGTTTTCAGGATCCAGTGGCATATAAGGTAAAGAACGCAATAACCCTGCCGGTAACTGCTAACTCATGGCGGTGCGCGGAGAAATCCAGTCGCTTCCCCAGCTTTCCCTCGCCTCATACCTCGGATGGACACGAGATGGCGCTAGTCCCTTTGCGAGGACGACCCGCAGGGGGTGCAGAAGCTTGTGGGCTGGTTACAGCCTGCCTTCCCCACCGCACACAGCAACAACAACAACAAAATAAAGATGGGTATTTGCATTTGTGACTCACACCAACCTCACCGAAAACCTCACCCAAAGCGGAAACACTCAGCAAAGATCGGTCGTAATATGTTCCATTTGGTTAGGAGACGGAGGGTTCCTTCGCCAGAGCCTGACCTTTCAGCCCCGTGTGAGCTATGTTTGCGAAGAATTTATGTAATTTGCTAACACGTGGCTTCATTTATCTCTTTCTGTGTGGTGGCTACTGGGGGAAATAAACATTGAAAATTCATTTTTTTTAACGTGAAATAAAATAAGTCTAATTATTTAAATAATTTAAATAAATCAGCACAGATAGATGAAATTCTGTTTCTTTTCAGATCTTTACCAACAGTGGATGATTCTGTTTGTTTCCAGGGGTAAATAATACTATTTAGGTAGCATTTTATCCATTATAGTCTACCTTGAAAAAATAGGATCCATAAAATAGGATAAAAATGACAATTATGTATTTTCTAAGCAAGTTACATTTTTTTTTCAGCTCTGATTCTCAGCATACGTTTAGAATATGTTGACTAGTCACATTATTTTTTTCCTCAAGAATGATAAGTGTGTGAATGAGTGGAACATTTCAGAATTTGAAGCCTAAATCTATAGCTTTCCAAACTTTTGTTCTAGTGGTTATGTTCTGTTCAGTCGGAAAATGTTTTCAAGACTGGATGAAGCCGTAACAGGGTTTGCAGATGACTGTAAACAACCCGACTTGGGTCGTTCATCAAAGTCCATTTATTATGAGCTGATTTGGGATTGTCTCATAACTTCTCATCAGTTCCTTAAAAATAAAGTTTTATTCTTTGAAGAAAAGGTTTCTAGAGGAGGGGGAAAGAGAGTGTGAAATTCACACATAATTATCGCCGGCCAAAGTAACTTTGATTCCCACGTTCATCAGTGGAGCACCATTGTTAGTTACCCTTATCACTTTATGCCCATTTGCCTGGGGCTTCGAGTGGACCCTGACACAACAGCAACAGAAGAGGCTGCTGGGAAGCCCAGGTGTCCCCTGGGTGCCCAGGGTGGTGAGTGTTGGCTGCACCAGCCGATGCCACCACGGAATAAAGGACAGAAACATCAGTTTCAGAAGAAGGAGAAAGGAAGTAGTGTCTAAGCCTCACTCGGGGCCAAAGAGGGGGTTGTAGATGCCTTCTTACCAAGCTGTACATGTGTGACCTAGTGTGACAGGAGATGCTGCATTTATGGTTGTCAGGGATGCCATGGTCTCAGGAGTCTGTGTGCTTTGTGATTCCTGGCTTTAAATACCTTTGCTAGGTGCTGGGCAAGTGGGAATGGTTGTCTGCGCAGGCTAACAGTAAAACCGAATGCTAAGGAAAGCCTCACTGCACATCTGTGGGACTCTAAGGCCTACAGTGAACTACTTTAAGTGATATTCCTGCACATTCTAGAAAATTCCAGATATGCCTATGGGACCCACTGTAGCCTCTGTTCCCAATCCTGCCCCAGTGGCTAACTTTTTGTGTGTGTGTGTCTTTTAATTTTTAAACAGAGTTCCAGCTGATCTTGAAATCAAGGTGTAGTCAAGGATGACCCTCCTGTCCCCAACCCTCAAGCGCTGGGATTACAAGTCTGTGCCACCATACTGTCCTGGAGATGGGACCCGGGACCGTGTGCATGTCAGGAAAGCACTCTACAACTGAGCTACATCCCTGGGCAGCTTTATGCGCTTTCATATCAATGTGTTTGGGTGCCACGTTATGACCGGTGTCTGTCCCCTCTTCACCCACAGACAAAGCGGTGGCATTTAGTGATGCATTTTGAGATATGGACATGTCCTCTCATCCATCCTTTCCCTTGGCATCACCTCGTTGAGACAGACCCCACTTTTATTCTGACTTGATCATATTTGCACTGCAGATTTTTGTTTCTGCTTAAAGAAGAGCGAGCGACCAAAGCAGTTTTTCCCATCATCGAGCAGAGGCTGCAAACAGAAGAGCTCTGTTTACTACAGAGAGCTAACTCACCTGCAGCCAGCTACCCTGCCCTTCAGTGCTGTGATGGACCTGAATGTCTGGATACGCCATAGAAAGCCCCCATTTGAGAAAAACATTTCCGTTCTGAGGCATCTACTGGAAATCAGTCAGAGGGAACCACGTGAACAAAACAATGAGGACAGAGAAGAAATATTTTATCATCACTTGAGAGATTAAGGCAGAGGAACAATTTTTATGTAATGAAGGAATTATCTTTCCCCCCGTGCAGACATGTTTGTGATAAAAGAGGCAACACAGGCACAGAGGACATTTGCTGGAATATTCCAGCATTAACCGGAAAAGATTTGCTTGGGAGAAAGGCAATTCTGTACTCTTGCAAAAAAAAAAAAAAAGACTTGAAAAGTTAAAAACAGAACATGCTAGCAACAATCTAAGCAGTGTGCTAGGAAGAGTAGATTCACGCCTGGGAATATGCCATCGAGTGAAGTCTGTAACGGGCTGTGCCCACAGCTTTCCCCTCTTGGCAAGCTGCTGTGTGCTGTGTGACCACGACAATGCCTTTATTTGTTCACCATCTTCGAGGTGGGGTCAGAATGGCAAGGCGTCCAGAGAGGTGCAATCATGGCTCTTATACCCGGGAACAACCGATTAGTTTATGCTCCAGGCTCACTCATTATGCGGGGACTCGGGCCTGGCACTGCAAACCCAGCCCACTGCCTGTGGCTGAAGAAGTCATGAACCATAGAGGATAGCCACGTGGTAGAAGGAGAGAGCTGTCCCCTGCAAGCTGGCCTCCTCGGGAAGGCTATGGCACACTCAAAGTTTGGGGGCTGGGGAGACAGCTCTGCCTGTCAAGTGCTCGCTGTGAAGCATTAATACCTGAGTGGAGAATCCGGCCCCCCATAAGCCCCAGCCCAGCAGCATAGGCCTGTTATCCCACACCAGGGAGGTGAAGACAGACAGCTCCCTCGGGGCAGGCTAGCCAGACAGCCTAGCCTATCAGCAAACTCGAGGTTCAGCGGGAGAACCCCTCTTCACATAAGGCAGCCTTCAGTTGAGGAGGACACTTCTGGCCTCTCTGTGTACCATACATACACATATGCACACAAACATACATACATACACACATACAACATGATACTTCTGACCTCTGCGTATACCATACACACACACGTATGCACACAAATATGGTTTTCTCTGGTCCCCTCACTCTAGTAAAGACATCCTCAGACTTCTGTCACATTGCTGATGTGTTTCAGTAAATCCATGTCTATACGGGTGAAGGCTTTAGGGCCTGAGTCTGCAGTGAGTGCGGATAAGACAATTGGCATTGTTAAGTGTTGGTCTGCAAGGCCAGCTGCCTGAAGCTACTGCAGTTTTTGGCAGAGTACATATTGTACAGTTTAAAGTGGGTCACAGACCCAAGAGTCAAAGCTGGAGTCTGTGTATCTTCATACGGACAGTCCGTTCTATCCGGAGAGCACTGTCTGCACGCAAAAATGGGGAGGCGTGGTCTACTCTGAGCAAGAGGCAAAGAAAATTGATGCTTCTAAGGCTGAGTGGAGTCTGAGAAAGGAAATATAGAGTCCATCTGTGCTGGCTCATTCATCCACAGGGTTCACTGGGGCAACACACACACACACACACACACACACACACACACACACACACACACACACACAGACTTCTAGCAGAGTGGGTGGCTGGACGATTCCTGAGCACTAAGGATTAATGCAGATAGCTTCCTGTCTGTCATTGCTGACCCATGTCTTTGGGTCCTCTGTTCTGATGGGGCTAGCCTTGTCCTTCAGAATTTCCCATGCTGTCTGGAGTTAGCCCTCATTCTCAGGCCCACCCAGTCCAATCCAATCCAGTCCCAATGACAAGATGGTTGGCAGGATTGACTCATTCGGGGACAGAATTGCCCTCAGAGCTGTGGGGCCACCCTACACCAGCCTGCTACTCCAGGTGTGACAATGTTGGAGTCACCAGTGTGTGACTACAGGGCAGACACAGAATGAGTCACCCAACTCTGCGTGCCTGGGCAGCAAAGGTCTCAGGGTGGTCTGTGTGCTTAGGAGATGAAGGAACACAAGAAGAGTCTCTCAGTCTGTCTCTGGCACCATTCAGGAGAAAAAAAAATACCCTAATTTTGACCGGAAGCCATTTATTACTATTCTTCCCTATTGAGAGAGCATCACTTCTGTCCCACATTGTCCTTGGTTTACCTCTCCTCACTCTTTCTCTCCTGTGACGTGGCTGGGCCACTGGCCTTGTCCACTGCAGGCCACTTTGTCCCTGTGCGGTCACATCCAGCTCCAGAAGTCACATGTGTCTTATTTGATGCCTCACTGGCCAGGGTTCAAAGGACGGGTAAATATCTTCCCAAATGACAGCATCCTGATTT